TGCAGCATCCTCATGGTCACGTGATCAAAATTTTGTTTGGCAACAGATTCGTATTTATTCTGGTTTCAGTGTCCTGGGGTGACCTTTTGACAAAAAAAAATTTTTTAATCAAGCCCCCCTCCCCCCCGGTCAATGGTGTCCCTCTTTACCAATCTGAAAATCTGGTCACCTTATGGTATACAGAATTTTATTATAAGCAGAGGAGTTGAGTACTCTTCTTGTTAAATACCACTGGACTCTCTCTAATGTTTTAGTGTCTGAAATGCTGTGTGGGTTCCAGGCAGGGGAGCAGTATTCAAGTATAGGTCTGGCAAAGGTTTTGTATGCCCTAGTTAGCAGCATAGCGTTACCAGAGAGAAAACTATGTAAAATAAGGTTGACAACTCTGAATGCCTTTTTGTCAATGTTGTTACAGTGAGCTTTAGGGCTTAGGTTTTTCAAAATGAGTCCTCCTAGGTCATTGTGCAGGTCATTAAGTGAGCATAGGATCAAGCTAGGATTCTTGTTTAGGCCCCAGCTAGGTCTCTAAAGAAGGGTCCCAAAGGCAGTCAGACAAACAGTAAAAAGCTTTGCAAGGACCCAGCTTTCTGTTCTGTTTGTTGCACAGGTTGTGCTCTAAATGGCTAAACTTTTTGAGCTGACTTTTCTCAACCTCCAGCTGATTGGGACCAAAAGATCCAAAAACAATTATGTGAGGAATTTTTGGAGTGCTGAAAATTGAGGCATAGGGAGCAGGCCAAGGTGCTGCAGAGCCCAGCTGGGGCGGGATTGGGAAGAGGTTAGGAAACATTGTCACATCACCATGGTCAGTTGTAAGGGCAAATAAACCCATGGGGGTCCTACAGTCCTCATAATTTTGAATTTTGAAATGGAGTCATATGAAATTTGGAGGCATCTGTCATAACTTTGAATCTTCATTTTTTCCCCTGTCCTATCTCAAGAGCCTGTAAAGAAAGCTGAAAAGTCTTGGTAGCTGTAGTAATAGCCTGCTATATTGATTCTGGGGTACCTGGATTTATGTTGTTTAAGGATATCCTTTTGAATGGGAAAATAGCTGTCAAAATGGGAAAGAAAACTGATATTATTATTGCTGCATTTGGATGATCCCAAGCTGGTTTTGGAAGGTAATTTTCCAGTTTATCCCATTGGGCAGTAGTCAAGGAAAGCAGCCTGCAAGGGGTGAAATAGACTACACACATTTATTATTGCTATTAAAGCTACATTCTCACAAGTTGCAGGCTAGATGTTTGTGATATCAAACATCCACACATAAAAGCTTCCTCAGAAATAATGTCTGGAATCTCCTGTTGTAGCTTTGAGGGAATGTACAACAAAATCCTAGAGTCAATTCCTCCTAGCGCCAGATTTCTTGCTATAAAATTAGACTATAAGTACAAAGTAATCTAGAAAGGCAGGGAGTCATCCACTTTCTTTCATCCTAGAATAGTCCAGAAAACTGTAAACCCTATGAGGTAAACCAGATCAAGAAACTGACCACAGAAAAAAATAGAACTATACTTTATTTGAGATAGGTGGCAATAAAACAATCTTTCAAGTTTGTGTTTTTCCGTCCCTTCCTCATATATCCAAAGAAGTTGTGGGAGTCAGTCTAAGTCTCTCTCTCTCTCATTCTTTTTCTTGCATCTGGGCTTATACTTGTTTCTTCTGCACCTATTATTTTTCTAATGCTTTCTGGCTACTATCTCTAAGGTAATTTCTATGCCCATCTCTAGAAATCAGGGCTATTCCATTATGATTAGTTCTTGGCCAATCCATTGAGTGGTCCAAGAAAGTGAACGTCCAGTCCACCTCTAGTGGAAGTTCATCCCCTTGTATCATGGAGAGGAATGGAATGATGGTGAAACAACAGTGTCTCCATAATTTTGAACATAGTCAGTTACAGTTCTGGTATCAGGAAAAATGATGTTGGACATGAAATGATTCTTAATTGGAGGAATGGAAGAAACAGAAAACTTTTTTTTAGGTTGTCAGAAATGTAACCTGATGTCAGATATTTCTCTGCCTTTCCTCTTTAATAAATTGTCAGGAGTAGATCAGGGTTCAAAACCACATTATCTAGAATTGACCAGGGATACATGAATATGAAAGTTTTACAACTTACAAGCTGAACTTCACATTTTAGCTTAACAACAAAAAAAATCACAAAGTATATTTGCAGATATAGAAGCATGTATTAACATATTAGAAGGAAAAAGTCCAATAACTAAAATGAATAGACATCATCAATTTTTCTTTTTTTTTTAAAATGGAAATATTTTGTGGGTCTACCTATTTATCTCTGAAAATTGCTACCTAGGATTTCTCTTCTAGAATTTGGCTTCTTTTAATTTTTGTATAGGATCATTTCTCCTCTTTTAAGCCATTTCAGGAAGTTTCTTATATCTCTGAGTAGTTATATAAGGAAAAGGACTGCACTGTGAAAGGTGGTGATAAAGGAAACTTCCACAAATTTTCTTCTATTCCAACCCATTAGTTTCAATAAACTTACTTTTAATCATAATATTTTTCATGTTCTAGTTATTTATTCTGGACAGAATGGGGACAGGCACCATGTATAGGCAAGGCTCGTTTAGATGGATCAGAGAAGACTATTCTTGTTGGTACTGGTGCCATGTGGCCTAATGGAGTTTCTGTTGATCTTGAGGTGATTTTTTCTATTTTTCTACATATAATTCATGCTACATTATGCTAAGATATGAATATCACACTATATTTTGTTGCCTTAATTAAAAATAGGATAAAATATTTGGAGTTTACCTTTTGATTGATTCTTAGGAAAATAAATTATATTGGTGTGATGCTCGAATGGACAAGATAGAAAGAATTGACCTTGAGAGTGGAAGAAATCGGGAGATTGTACTGTCAGGAAGTAATATGGATATGTTTTCAGTCACAGTCTTTGGGGCTTACATCTACTGGTCTGACAGGTAATTTATTTTTCTATAAGTATTTGTGTTTCAAAATGTTACTCCTGTGCCAGATATTTCACCCCTATAGAAATAGCTATTCTTCAGTAATATCACCAAAAAGGATCTCACATAGTGATAGGGATTTTTTAAAAAGCAGTTTAATATTCAACATAGCTAAACTATATCAACATTGCAAACTAAAAAACACCAACGTTTCTTCATTTTCTGTTAGGCCATATGTTCCTTGCATATTAATGTCTCTTTCACTTTTAATTAGTTGAGAACTATGGGTCAGATACCTTCAACATTTTTTGGCAGAGCTCATGCAAATGGATCTATCAGACGAAGCAAAAAAATTGACGCCACAGAGACAGTATCCATGAGGACAGGCTTAGGCATAAACTTGAAGGAAGTAAAAGTTTTCAACAGAGGTCGTGAAAAAGGTAACTCTTATTGTAGACTTAACTGTTTGATTGTACACGTGAAGATAGTGTGGTGATGATGATGCTATTATTTACCACAATGAATCCTGAAATAAATGAATTATTTAAATTTTCCATGGTGGATATTGGCATTAGCTTATAAAACATCCAGATGAGTTTCATTCCTTTGGGAACAAAAATTTGAAACAATACACACACAAACTTAAAATGACTCAAAGCTGTAGGAGATTGCTTAACACCTCAGTAGACAGGAGGAGGTTTCAAAAGGATCTTGAACACAGGATTTTCCCAACAAACTGAAATTCAACTGTAAGAAATGTACAGTTTTGCACTAGTAGGAAACAAAAATCAGATGCACAGCTAGATATATGTAGAACAAGGCTCAGCAGTAGTACTTGTGACATAGAAGGATCTTGGTGCCCTACTAGACCATAGTTTAAACATGAATCAGCAGTACACTGTAGTTATCAAAATGCACAATGTAATCTTGGGCTGTATCAACGTAGATATAATAAAGAGATCACAGGAAGTAATCTTTCTACAGCTGTGTGAAAAAGTCCTGCACGCTTTCAGTTATAATCTCGTATTTACATGTTTAATCAACTTTTCACTCATAGAAACCACGCAAAATTAGTACTTTGATGAAAATTTCTGTAGTTGGATTGAGATGCATAATTTTTATTAATATAACCAAACTCTTTTAAAGGTTTTGAGTGAGTTTATGTGCTAAAACAAACACAACTTGAATTTTTGAGAATGTTAGGATCAAAAGTAGCCAATCATTAGTGAGCTTTGGGTGACCAATCAAAATGCACAGAGGCTAAATCTGTGAGCCAATCAATGTTGTCAAACTCTCTGACTATGAATAGGCATGAAGAGTATTGATAAATTTAATTTAGCTCTGGCTGCAGGCAAGGATGTAGGTCTTTGCTTTCACCAATACTGAGCAGCAGCATTGCATCATTGTGTTTCATGAAGAGGGTTACTCCTGTGCAGAAATAGCCAAGAGAATGAAATGCCATCGAACCACAGTGCCTAAAAAATACCAAATAACTGGTTCAGTTGATGACAGGCTCCGCTCTGGAAGACCAAGACCAAGTCAACAAAATGGCAAGATCGGGCTCTGCAG